TTATCTGCTTGATCTACCTCAGTTACAAAGACGCAGGGAAAGAAGGGTGCTTTTTCCAAGCAGTGCACAGGGATTAGATGTACGTCCACCATTACTGTAAATGGACTGTGTAAAGTAAATCCCACATACAGCTACAAAAACATAACTCTTGATAGCAGTATCTAATGCCATCATTTCCCTATAAATAAAGATGGCCAAATACTTATCTCATTTACACCAATGTATGTACACAGTAATGCTCCTGACTTTGGGCAGAGGATGTTCCAGAGGAATATACTTGGAAGCACCCAAATGTGCACCCAAATGTTTTCCAAACAGATTTCTATCTCAAAGCTTGGGACAAGATTTCCTGCAATGAGGGAATATGTTCAGATGGGAACACTGATACTTAAACCAAATTATAAAGATGCATTAAGAAATAAAAATAATGATCAAGAAGTTGCTTCTGTTCCTATTGAAATTAGTGGATACCTTCCCATGCTATTCAAGAGGAACAAGATGAGAGTGGCTCACATGGTCTGATTAAAGGAATGGGTTATTTGATAGAATGGTGTCAAATTTTCAGGTTCTTACCTCACTATTTGTAAATGGTAACTAGTTGCAAATCAAATTCAAGGAAATAGCTATGGAAGCATTTTCAAAGGGGCACACAGGGGTCAAGCAGCGTCTTACAAATTTGGGGTTTTGGTTGTCTTATGAAAAGCCATGCACATTTTGCCAGGTGAAAGATATCCATTTACATGTGTTTTGTGTGAATTTATACCACAGTTGTAAACTTCTCTGAACATTCTGTGTGTGCCCTTACCATGCCCAGCCCAGGAAGAGCAGAGCTTTCGCTCTGCTTAGTTTAATTCTGTGATAAGCCATGCTGGGTCAGTTTGAGAGCTCAAACTGACAGAGGAGAGTCTGCCTCACCTGTCTTCTCCATGACATCTGCCTCTTGTGGGCTTCAGTTTGAAGAGAGAGATATTTAGGTTTTTAGGTACATTAGGTATTACAATATATATTAGGTGTCCTATAAATAGGACATTTAGGTACACTAGAGACTGGAACTGAACAGGCAAGAATTTTGGAGTGAGCAGAACAAAACCAAAGAGGCAAGCAGGATTTGCTCAACAGTAACAATAGCAATGGAACCAATAATTTAAAGAGATGGAACTGGGACAGGTTAAATAAAGAGACCTGGACAAGTAAATTTGAGGATGAGTAAGGGAAAGGACAGGGATATAAAGATGATGGGGTTTAGAACAGAACCCATTTTATTTCTCTTCCATTTGCCCAGTATTTGGCTTGCAGAGTAATCCAAACCTCTACAGTACAGACATTTCCCAATCACTGTGAACTGCCAAAACACAACATTTCTACACAGTCTTTATGAAAGAGTAAAAGATACTATTATTATTTCATACAATCATATATTTTGGGTTTTGCTTTACTTATTTATGTAACCTTAAGTGTAAGCAAAATTAGAGCATCTAGAGATTAAGAAGAAAATCTTACTGAAGAGCTACTATTGCACAAACCTCTGGATTGTGTCACCTTCGCAGCAGCACAGTGAAACTAGCAGAAATGTTGTGTTGGTTTTTGACCAGAATATTCAACAAAGGTTGATTCTATATTTAGTAAAAGATCTAATGGAAATCTACCAGTTATTTTTTGCTACCCTTTGTAAAGCAAGTTATTCATAGGGGCTGGTATATTTTCACCCAACGGCTTCGACCCTTTGGATCTTATGCCTCTTTCTTTTTTCATATGTTTGTATTGTAAAGTCCTTTAAGATATATTTGCTTGCCCACTTTCACTTTTCCTGTGCCTCACTTTGCCAGAGATTTTTACTGCTTTAATTTGCAAGGATTCCCACAAGAATGGTCTTTTACCCCTGGTAGACTGTTGACAGGGATATTTTGATCAAGACAGGTTGTGTCTTCCAGACTCACTCCCTCAGGACTAAATCCAACTTCCTTTCATAACATATACACATTCATCATGTACACAAATAAGAACCCTAAACTGCAGCCTAATGTGCTGGCCTCTCTCTCTGTGACGTTTCCTTGTGTTATTGTCAGCTTAATTTCAACAATGTTAAAGCAAAACTTCAGAACTCCCTTGCTACTTCTTTCCTCAGTTATTGGTACTATCACCACCCTGCTTGTCAGTTAAGCCCATAACTTCAGAGATAATTTTTAACGTAGTCTGCTCTCCAGGATATTGTAACCAGTCTATGTGCACATTTTTTCACTCTCTTTGAACAGTAGGTTTCAAGTAGTATTTACCTATCACTTCATAGCTAAAAATCTGAGGTAATGCCTCAAGAAATTCTATTTTATTGTAATAAACATCTGTCTCCTGAGTTTAACTAATCCAATCTTTCACTAACAAATTAAGTATCTGGAATGCTATCGTTAAGTGTTCTGCTAGCCCAGTGTTTTGACCCACTTACTCCACTTAGCATCTCACAGTTGATTCTAGTACATAAAACGAAATCTGCCTGTCTTTGCTATCAAGATGTTTCACAACCTGGCTCCATTCTACCTGTTACCTCTTATTCTTTACTGATGTCATCCCCCATTTCTGATTAGCCAAGGATGCCCATCTCCTCATTTCATTCATTAGATTTCCAAACAAGTAATTTTATTTACTTTTGATCAGCTCCTACAAGCATTTATATTGCTCTTTGAAACCTACTTCATTCTGAGAGAGATTTTTTTCTCTGCAAGACTTCCTTTGCTATCTGGTCCTTGCAGTTCAGGTGAGAATGTGTGGCTGTCAGAGGTACTTATCTCCAGGATCTGGCACTCGACAATCCTGGTTTTCGTAGTGGCAGAGACACTACAGGGATGCTGAACTCCTTTGAACATATTCTGGAATGACCTGTGCATGCTATCTTTTTTATTCTGAGAAATAATCTAACCCAGAGTTGTTGGTTTCAACAGGAACAATCATAAATAGCTAAACAATAGGCTAGTAAGTGTATTTTATGTAGGTCATCAACAGGTTATCAAAGAACTAAACAAGACACCTCAGGTATCACATTAGAAGGACATAAAGACTATAAAACATCGAAATACAATTAAGATATATAATACGAACAAAACATACAGTGTTGAAAATGTCTAGAATCTGATTGTACTTTTAGGGGATGGAAAACTAATTAACCAATTAGAAAAGTAATAGAAGATAGTAACTTGTAGAAAAGTCAGGTCTGATACACTGAATAAATAAGTAAAGTAAGTAAATAAAGTAAGTAAATAAGTAAGAGAGCTGCGTCTTGAAATTATTTCAATTTGTGCTTTTGGACAAAAAAGCCCTCCTGATTTTTGTCTGGTCAGTAGTACACACCACTAGCTTTGCTATTTGTCATGCTGCTAGCATAAGACATACAGGCATGAATCTAGTCTGTGATTTAAAGTGATGGTGTTAAACAGGATACAAACTGGAGGAAGTTTCTGCATGGGTCAGTTAATATTGGCTGACTGGTAAGTGGCCAAGCTTGGAAATCATGTGTACAAAAATGCTACAGTGTTTTTAGGATCATAAGCCTATTATAAAAAAGAAAGAAGTGATTTTTTCATTATTAATTATAATCACCCATTTGGTACTGAAACAAATCTGTATTTTATATAAACACAGATCTTAGTTTTTACTTTCTTGGATAAATTCACAGCAAAAATATAATGTAGTAAGCGAGCTGAAACTATTCCAGAGAAAGATTTCTGCCTTATCTTTGGCATCAGCTATCCTCCCTGTTCTTCCCCCTTTGAAAGGGTTTATTATGAAATTCAAGATTCATGTTTCTTTAATGGAGTTACTGCTTCTTTTGTCTTTGCATCACCTTTCCTGTGCTAAGAAGAACAATGATTCAAATACTCATTTTTACAAATACTTATTTTGGCAACAGTGGTAGCTGAATTTACCTGCTCTCTGCCCAGTGAAAAATTATTATTTTGAAACTGGATCAATTTCTGGATGTAATTCAGCATGCAAATGCACAGAGTTATGCCAGTGCTACAAGGCAGAAGAGAAGTGGCAGAAACTAGGGGCCTAAGTGGAAACTGTTTTAGAAAGTAAGCGCCAAATAAATGTGTATGGATCCTCATCAGAGGCTTTGGCCTCTGATTTTCATATCACACCTCCACAGTTTTATATTCCTGTAGTCATTTGTGTTTATGCAAAATCAATGTAAAAGACTGTCTAACTAGAAAAACAGCATTTTAGAGCTCATTGTCAGAAGGGGAAACGAGCACTTGAGCTAGGTAACAGTATGGAATCAGGGCTCTGGCAATGTAGTTTGATAGTACACAGCACTCTCAGACAATAGCAGTCTAAACAATATTACTCTTTTCCCTTAGTGATTTTCTAAAGCTGATTCAATCCAGTAGCTGCATCAGCACAAGTCAGGGTGGCATTGAGGACAAAGAGGTGGGAAGAGGTGACAGACTATGGTCAGGAAAGGATGGGGACTGCTTCAGGTTGTACAGCTACGTATTTGCAAATCTTGGTTACTTGCAGTATTAGATTAAAATCAGGTGGTTGACTTACTGTCACTTGCCTTTTATCCCACCATTCTGATGGTCGCTTATGACCTCAGAGCAAGAATACCTGATCCTGTGAGTCAGTTTCTGAACTGCATTCATATAGAAAAAATGGGTGTTGCTGACAGAAACTTCCATTTAGAAGGAGGAAAGGAGATAGGAAAATACAAAACAGCCTAGTCAGGAGTGGAAGAGAAGCTTTTCCTGTCATTGTCAGATCCATTTTAGGAAGTTGTTGCTTTCCCTGTCTTCTGTTGCTATCCAGGCAGTTATTCAATGCCTCTGATCTTTATTTCCTTGTTTTCTGCTGATAACCATAAGAAATTTTGACTTTAGTCATAAATGAAAAATGTCACTGTAAGAAAAATCTATGACAGTTACAACATGTTAGAAAACAAACATATTTATGTTTAAAATCAGCTAGTAAAACATGGTAAGCTATGTAAGATGAACTGAAACTTAATATACCTGCAACATCTTAGCTGATTCATTCAAGAAATCCTCCACGCTCTGATTTTCAGGGTCAAATTTGTTAAGCTGTTGGACTATTATTGCAATATGTTTTCCATGGCTGACCATCTTCATCATGGAGAATCCTATAAATATAGTAAATCATTAATTTTTCATGCCTCCTTTAGTTGTAGCATAATGTATGTTGATAGGCTCATAGAGGAGATAATACTGCAGTAATGTAGAAGAGAACATTTAGGTCAAGCTTTCAAAATCACAGTTGCTCTGAACAGCTAACAGGAGAAATGAGAACACAGTATAAACATCAATAAAACAGAAGACATAATTATATATTTCTTATTCTGCAAGTGTTTCAAAAGATCCTTAGGATGACACCTGAAATGGTTTAATGTATCAGGTTATTTGACTAGACATAAGTAAAGATAATAATAAAGCATGAATTTTTGCAGATGTGCTGTCCAGGTCCTATTTAATACATTGCTCTTTCCAGTGAGATGCCCTGTGAGAAAGCAAAACTTTAGTCTTATTTCTTATCACATGTTGCTACTAGCAGCCCATTTTTCCAAAACAAGAAAAGAGTAGGAGCAGAGAGGGATTATAAGGAAGCAATGAGACACTGTTGGTGAGCAAGCTGGGTAGCAATCACAACACATCAGTAGTCTAGGCCACCATCAAGGTTTCTGAAGGCACAGCAGTTGGGTACTTTTTATGCTTGATGCTTTGTATGTGAAATGATTAGATTACATCAATCTCAAACGATGTCTTACTCATACGCATGAGAGTTTGCAGAACCGGCTACCTAGATTTTAATGTTAGCATGACAAGAAATAGAAATCATTTGTTTATACACATGCACATGCTGTTATTTATCAAAGACCAATGTTAGTTATGATCAAGGCTGAAAGTCATTAAAATGGTTTAGCAATGTGAAAAAATGAGCACAGAAGTCAATTTCCATGGTGAAAATAAAAACGTATTTTTGAAAATCATTCTTGTATTTTATATATCATCATATTCTGACAGTAGAAAAGAACGCTTGATCCAGATGATTCATTCCCATTGTGATAAAGATAATTCATTTCTTGTTTTAAAAGGATAACATAACATTTCCAGATACAGTGTTTTTGTACTCTGCCTTTCAGCACTATCATATTCAATAATAATTGCCTAAACAGCACTTTTAATTACCAATCTCAAACCACTGAAAAAATAGTTTGTCTGTGATTATGTTTAATATAGGCATTGAGTTACCTGCTGTGATCAAGAGAAAATGTCCAATTAAAAAACAATTAATTCCAGTACAACAAGGCTGGATCATGACAAGGGATGGCAAATAAAAAAAAAACGAGGTGCTGCTCTGCCTCTGCCACAGGGGGAATCTCTGTTTCTCCAGTCCTCTGAGAACCATGATCTGTTTCTCTGTACCTGCCAAGATTCTAACACTCACAAGGGATTTTGGATAAGGGAGAAAAAAATACCTCTGAACCCATTCAGGCTGAATCATAATTCAGGCTCCAACAGCTTCACCAGTGACAAATATTTTTTCTTCTGGCATATTAGAAATAACTTTGAGTTCTCATGCTCTGTACATGCTGATATTCAACTTTCCTCTCCAAATAATAATAATTAAAACCAAAAACTGGAATATGAAAACTGGCATGGGAACTCTGGGCACACTGGTTTCTTAATAGAAAGAACTTTGTGATTGTATTTAAACAAACTGCTATTATTAGAATCAATGTTTTAAAACACACACATCAGGAATAAAATGCTTTGTCTTATGACATACACCCTTATTTCCACACAGCCATTTAGGAGAATATTCTAACTGCTATGTATAAAAATTATATAAATTTATACTGTGTGCAAAATGGTAGAAATTTTCAGCCATTATCAGAAGAATAATTTCAGTTAAAGGAGGTAAGAACGTGAGTTGGCCTTATTTTACAATAAGGAGATATTTTGAAAGCAATTACATAAGATAAGACTGGCCACAATTGTACAGACTGGTTTCAATGACCTGAAAGACTTCTTCAGGTTTTACAACTGCACCTATGGTCTTGGCCTAAAAAGACTTCTACGGCATTTCTGCTGATGAAAGCTGTCCTTAAAGAGTGGGCTGAACTAAGTCTCCCTGCAAAATTGAGTCAGATCAAGCAGCTACTGCTTAAAATGGAATAGGTGTTTCTCTCAGCTGTGTGCTAGAAAAAAAAGCCACTGAATTCAAGGTACAATTGTCCCAATGGTTACATCCTGCCATACTCATTTCCTCTGGACTTTTCCGCATCACTGACTGTCACCTGAGTGTAGCAGAGAGCAGTTCTGGGCACTGCTCCTCTTCTCAGCAGATTCCTCCCTTTAGGCAGCAAAGCATCAGACGGAAAACATTCATCCTGAACAGCTATAGCCTGGATCTTATGTTTATTTTTAATTTGCATCTATTTCAATGTTTTGCATACCTACTACAAGTATTTTACTTGACACAGTATTTTTTATCTAATATCTTGTGGAACTTTATAATTAAATATTCATTGTACAAAACCTTCTGCAAATAAGTTGTCTTATATTTGCCACATAGGTAAGCCAAAGGACACCAAGGCTGGCTACTTGCCCTAACTCACAAATTAATGAAAACTCTGGGAGCAAAGCCTAACAATCCTGTCTACAGATTAACACAAGCCTGCTGATTTCTTCAACTGTGTTTCTAGACACCTAATAAACGAGTCAAGTAGTTATAAGCCTAACGAGGGCACCTGACGCCTTCTGAATGCCATACACATAAAACATTTTACGCATTTTTGCTTCCGAAGGTGTCATAAACGGCTACAGCTGCCTTGCGGCCAACTGAGGCCTGTGAAGCCGCAGGAGTGCAGTACCCCGGGCTCCAAGACGGGTGCCGCCGCCTGAGGTAAACGCGCGAGTGCGCAGAGGCCC